CCCCCCTACACGCCCATCGTACATAGGAATTTAACATGGTGACATACGCTTTGGCATGACCCCCCTCCCCCTACCAGTGCGTATGTACTTTGTGCACGCCGCCTAAGTTATTTCACACGAAAACATTGTCCGTCGGATATCGACACAAATTTTTTTAATAAAATAATCAGAGAATCTTTTTTGAACATTAGTAGTAGGTTGACTAAATGTTAAAAAACAGTGGACAGGGACTGAGTATCACCAATTGGTTTATATAATTTTAAAGCCAGATAAATTGTCTATAACCTATGTAAATTTAATAAGATTTAGAATACAATTGATAATTTTATTTGATATTTATAATATTGAATTCTCAGTTGTTGTTTCAAAACCATAATATTGATCTTTAATACTGAACATTAGTACAAACTTTGTACTACAAAGTAAGAAAAGTACGAAAAGTACAAAAAGTGTAATTAAATGAATGACCTTCATAAATTCATAAATATACTATATAAACATTACAATAAAACTGTGTATTGTCTGATGTTAAGTAGTCTTGATTCAGTTATTATATGATATTTTCAAATAAATCTATGTATTTGATTTGATTGATTAATTTATAGATAACAAAATGTATGCAATCATATTTAGTGTAATAATAGTGATTCTACTATTGCTATGGTTTATGGCCAGACGTGACAGTGATTTACAACTTTATCTAAATGAAATGTTTGGGCATTCAACCAGTAAGTCAATACAGTACAGTACAATACAGTATAATACAATACCCTGGTTATTTAATTATATTTCGTAAATAATATTCATTGTTAATGTGTTTTATTATGAATTTGAAGGTAAACTTAGAGGAAAAATAGTATGGATTACGGGTGCGTCGAGCGGTATTGGGGAGGCGCTCGCGTATGAATTGGCTGCTAATGGCGTCAAATTAGCCATTTCTGGCACTAATGTTAGTCGACTTGAAGAAGTGAAGAGGAACTGCATCTGTTAGTCACTAATCATTTGGTATTTTTGTAAAATTTTAAATCAAAACTTATTTTCCAATCAATTATAGCATTGAATCAATTAAAAGAAGAAGACGTTTTGATTCTAAGCTTTAATGTGAAAGACTATTCACAACACCAAAAGCAATTCAATTCAGTCATCACTCACTTTAAAACGGTATGCCTTTCATTGAAATCATATTTATATTTATAAATATAATATTGTAATTATAATGTTAAATATATAGCTCGATATTCTGGTGTCCAATGCGGGTAAGGGTCAGAGAGCAGAGTTCGCTAACATTGACATCGATGTCGACAAAGAGATGTTTGAAATCAATGTCTTCGGACTCATTAATTTGTCGCGAATTGCTTTGAGATATTTCCTTCAAAATAACATTAAAGGGCATCTCGTGGTCACTTCAAGTATAGCCGGAAAATCGGGTATTAATATAATCTTTTTAATTTATAAATCTTTAGTAATAATAACGAATAATTATAATACGTTTATAAATACATTGCCCAGGTGCTCCAAACTCGAGCTCATATTCTGCGACCAAACATGCCTTACATGTGAGTAATGAACTGAAATGGATTGATGTCTAATAAACTCATTAAACACTATTGTTTCGCTAATAAAGGGTTACTTTGAAAGCGCTCGCATTGAGACCAAATCAAAGGGTATTTCAGTGACAATGTTATGTCCCGGACCTGTGGTCTCCCGGATTGCAGAGAATGTATTGACTGACAAAAAGGACAATAAATACG